GGCTGCGTGGGGTTAAACCACGACAGTTGCCCACAGCTGGGGCACACACCAGCCCCTTGTGGTCCTGGCCCCCCGAAACAATTTAGCATTTAGTAAAAGAAAACGAAAGCGTGAAAAAAGTCTCAGTATTACTAACAATGCCAGTGGTGTTGCTATCCTCACCTGCACAGCTTTTCTCCAATTTTCCTGGTGCTATGGCCCATGTGTCCGCTGGGCCCTGCAGCTTCTGGGGTCAGCCTGGTGGGAGAGGGGGTGCAGCAATGCAGCCCCTGGCCAGGAGGGGTGGGATGTTGATTCTGACGGGTCCTTCTACATGTGCCATGTACTTTTTTTTCCCCCCAAAAAGCAAGTGCTGCCCAACTCCAGGTCTGCATCTCTGCATCTGGTCCCGGGGTACATGTTTCCGGCTGGGAGGTCTCCAGGGCCAGCCCATGCCCCATTGTTCATCACCCTAGGCCTGGCCTCCTCCTCACCGCACTCTCTGCCCCACGTCCCGGGGCTCTGCTCTCCTACCAGCCTGCATTGCCCTGTGCAGCCTCACTACGGCAGCGCCCAAATGCCTCCTGCGCAGAGTCACAACTTGGTGCTGCTCTCTGTGTCAACCTAGGGTTGTACTCTGCCAAGGCAGGAGCCCCAAGAAGTTCAACAAGGGGAAGTGCAAAGACCTGCACCTGTTTTCAGTGAAAGAGAAGTGGGTGAGTGTTCAGAACAGGCAAAGAATTTAAAAAGTCCCAAATGATGAAAGTCATGAAATGCATTCAAGCCATTGCCTTGCCTTGCCTTGCTTTTGCCTGGCTGCTAAATAAAATGGAGTGGGGAGGTAGAGGAGCTGTCCCAGGGGAGCCAAGGTGTGTGCAAAATTCCATGGTGGCGAGCCAGCAGCAGTGGGCAGCTGGGGAAGAGGATACTCAAGGCAGTTCCCTGCCTCTGGTGGAAATGATCGCAAGAAGGCGTGCATCAAAAAGGGCAGGAGACTGGCTAGTTTCACGTTCCCCAGCTGCTGCACTATTGAATCTCCCCAGCCACCTTGGCTGGGAGAAAGGGCAGGTGCATGGTAGAAGGACCATGCCACAGGTTCTTGCTGCAAGTTGCACTGGCAGCTGAGAGAGAACAGAGAGGGACACAAACTCATTTTGCTGGGAAACAGCTCTAGAGGCACTCGAGTGCAAGGACTGGAAGTGCTGCAGACGTGCTGTCTCGAGTTAGGTACAATCTGTGGGGATGTGGAAAGAATCTCCCAGGCAGCGCACTCCCCCTCTTTGCCGTACACACACAGCTGTGTGCAGGGATCGCTAGCATTTGCTTGTGACCAAGAAAAGGCTCAGAGTGCCTGGGAATGTGAGTCCCAAGCCAAGTAACCAGACCCTTTGTGTTTGGATTTACTGACCCAGCACTGAGCTGATTTGGCTCCTGGGGACTGGAGAAGCACACGACCAAATGCACTTCTTTCTCCTGGTGGGAAGCTGGTTTGATGCCTTATTACTGTAATTGCCAAATCCATCAGTCATTGCAGGCTGTCTCCAAGACTTCATCCTCTCTCACCCTCTGCTCAGGAAGGATAGCCAGCTTATTTTGACAATGCTCACAGAAAAATGCTTGGGATTTGTTTATTCTGGACTATGTCTCTGGGCATCCTTGTTCCTGTCTTTCTTTAAAGGTAAGCTCATCTGTGGTTGACCAGTTTTTTGGGGTTTTTTTTTGTTTTTCTTTTATTTTTTCTAAACAGTAGTCACATCCTACCCCAACTCTATTTTCAGAGGACTTGTATCTGCTTGTGGTTTAAACTTTGTTAGAGTCCAGTGCTGGTCCCACTGAGTTTTGTAATCAGTTTGAGTAAGTTTGTGGATCTCGCAGTGCTGGGCACCTTCTTTTAAGAAAGGAAAAGGTGGGGGAGGGGAGATGGAGGATTGCAGGGCTAACAATAAAGAATTTTTAAATGAGAAGGGAGATTGAAATAGCCACAGTCCCAAAAGATGTTCAAGATTCTACACAAAATGTGCTTTTATTGTTCCCTAACAGCTTGTTATATGAAACATGCATGCCTGCAGCAACTATAAATTCTAAAACTGAGTATTCCAGATGTGAGGCATCATGTCATGTTACCCACGATTTATGCATAGAGACAGGATTGTCTTTTCAAAGCAGAGAAGGTGGTCCGCATATTTCAGAAGCTCAGGTGCATGGGAAACTTATGTATGTGTGATGTTGCACTGGACTATTCATGCCACATAGATAATTCCGTATTAGTTTATCCGAACCTGCAAAACATCCATGCATTTCATTATTACAGCTCCACATTTCAGCTGCCTAATGTAGCAATGCTATTGCAGAAAAGTGTTTCCCCACCTTGCTAGATTAAGAACTTGCTTTGTTCTTTGTTTGCAAAACATTTCTTTGCTACTTCAGGAGCTGAACTAACAGGCAGGTGATGGCAGCTAGTTATGATATGACTTACTTTGTGTGCAGTCCCATTTTGAGCAGTTGTGTATCATGTAAATACTGCCTTTTAAATACTGAGTAATCACTAATTCATCAGGGGCAATTCTTAGTTTCTCGGAGCGGCACATGAAGACACAAACTGCTTTATAAATAATTCACAGGTTTTTTTGTTAGGTGCTTTTACCAGCAGTTTACAAGTATGCACTTTTACAGACAACTGCTAAAGCAGAATGAAATGAACCTCTGATTAAGGTGGTTTGATCTGTATTTGACCTCTGCTTTATGGATAGTTTTTTTTTTATTTTTAAAGAAAAGGGAAAAAAAAAAAAGAAAATAAAAGCCCTGGGAATTGTGCAGTTGGGGCAGAAGAGAAAAAATTTGGGATGATCTTAGCATGTTATCAGTAGCAGAGTCTTTTAACAGTAAGCTCCAAATGAACTCCCCTGGGATTCTTCAGAGCACCCCCATGGAGGTCACAGCAAGTCCATCATAACTAACATCACTCTCACATAGTGCTGAGTTGTTTCAACAGAATTCATAACAATTTCTCAACTACTGAAAACTCCTGCAGAGCTGCTTGACAGGAAAGTTGTGAAAAGGACTAGTTAAAAAACAAAACAAAACAAACCATGAAGAACTCAGTCATTTTTTCCAGTCCTTTCCACAACTTTTTGCTTCAACTTGACTCTACTTGCACTACTGCTAGGAGCCCTTATAGACATGTCATTCATATTAGGTTATTGCAGCCCTCCTTCCTGAAAAGCCTGGAGCTAGTGATGCTTTCCTGGGACGTGGGCCCTAGCGAAAATCAGGAAACTGGTCCTCAGCCTCCCTGGATCCCAGATGACATCTCTGAGAGCCATCCATCCCTTTCATGCCAGGTGCAATCCTTGAAGGAGCACCTAGAGGATGGAAGGACCCTGTGAGTCCCAGCAGCTACATGACAAACTCAGGTTAAGGGACCTGAAAACCCTGCTCCAGGAAGAGATTGGAAGTGAGAGATCATACCCACTCCTGCTCTTTTCTCTGAGCATGATGCAGTCTGGGAGCCAGGGTGCAGACGACCCTGCAAAGGAGTTTTCCTCCTGAGAAATGTGTTCCAGTGACTGCATGGGCACCTAGCCTCTCCAAGGAGCATTACTTCAGCTCAGTGCACAGGTACCTGCTGTGTTTGAACATTCAGGGAAGTTAAACATGCGCTTTGCTAATCTCCAGTCAACCCATGTGTTCTAATTACTGTGCTTTTATGTACTTTTTTTAAAGTGAGGCCACTAACGTGCCACACATGCCACACAGAGCAGAGTCAGACCTCTTAGTTCCTTTGCTCTGTGCAGCCTGACATCAGGGTCATACTCTGGCCATGTAGCTCTGAAAAGCCCAACAAAGGCAAAGGCAAGCTAAGGACAGAGCCCCTCCTCTGCAGTCTGGTGGGAATGTAAGTGCTCAGCAGTATGGGACAAATCCTATGGCAGGGGTTGCTGCAGACAAGCTAACCAGCTAAAGGATGTAAATTATGAAGCAACTCAGCCTGACTTGGTGTATGCAGCCGGTGCAAAACAGCTTTTCTTTGGCTCGCTCACAATACAGAGTTGAATTCCTGTGCTACACTCATTTCATGCTTTCTCACAGCTTTGGTGATTTAGATAGGGTCTAGTGATCACATCAGAACACAACCGATGCTCTAGGAGCAAATCCTCATAAGGATACTGTTCTTGGTTCACTTCCATGCAAGCAGATGCTATTTCTGCAGCAGCAGTAGCATTGGCAAGACAGTCTCAAAAGGCCAGATTCTGCTGCCAAGATACAATTGCTCTAATGTGAGCTAGTTAGACTGAAGTGACATGAGTTTAGAGATCCGTGTAGCAGGAAGAACCAAGGCTGGTACTTAAATACCTATGTATGGAGTCTAAACTTCGGGCCTCAGCTGGGTAGGACTGATGGAACTGCAGTGAGCTGTGTTAATCAAAATGGTTTACTCCAGAGAGACACTGTTGAATAGATGTGAGAAGTCCTGTGTCTTAATAGAGTACAATGTAAAGTCATTGGTAATTTAGGTGGTTGGTAAAGACCTTTAGGTCTCATAAATGTTACCAGACTAAAACCAGGTGTTAAAGTCAGATAATTTAGAATTTTTCATACTCTTAATTTGAGGTCTGGAGGTCGCATTCACCTCAGTTCCCCACATTCTCTATGTTGATGCTCTGAGTTGTATCACCCACAGAGTGATACACAGTTTCAAAGATAACAATGTAGCTGATGAAACCTTAAAGTAAAAAAGATATGAGGAAGACCTTTGCTTGTACAAGTAAGTCTTTTCTTCCATATTGGCTAAAAAGATGCCACACATGCACCTTGCAGAAATGGGAAATTACTGCCAGATCCCTGCCATTACTATAACATCTGGGAGCACAGACACCAGAGTCTGGTCACTCTGGATTCTGTGGGCTTGCTAAGGCGTCATGTATGCATGGAGTCATACAGGGTAGAATGTACTTGTCATAGCACATGTCTGGATATAGGTGTCAGTCTGCTCTGTGATCAAGAACACTAGTGCAGAAACATGTGCCAACACATTTAAGACACGCAAGCAGAGTCCTAGGCAAATTTCTGAGATGATTTCCTGTGAGTTATTGTCTGCTACAGTAACTTGCTGTACATGCTTGCCTCTTGAGATTGACTTTTCAGTTCAATGAACCAGACTTCATGGTCAGTCACTAATCTTCTATGTGCATTCACTGGCACAGCTCTAAGACTGCTCTGTATTATCGTAGGCACAGCTGCAACTGTGGAGCTGGCCCAAGCTTGTGAGAAGTTGCCAGGCTCCAGGAAAGTTGGAGATATTTCCATGCACATTTGCTGATAGTGATCTGCGCTAGATTTTCGTGTGTTAACTCCTCAAATTTCACTAGAAAAAGTGGGAAGGGCCGGAAAAAGCACCTGGGCCCTGACATCACTGGCATCTATTGTTATTTGCACCTATTGGTATAGCACTCTGCATGTAGGGAGGGGTCCAGAAGCAAATACAGTGCACAAGAAAGTAGCATCCATCTGGTCTTTGGGATGATGCCAGATGGTGCCTTGGGAGCCTTCAGCCTTGTTCCAGTGCAGGGGGCCTTATGATGGTCTCAGAGCAGAAGTTCCTGTTCCAGGCACAGGATTCATGTCCTAAAGAGAGCTCCAGACCTTTTTTCTCCCTCTGGTTTGTTCTCCTAAGACATGTAGAGGAGAACATGAGTTAGTGATGGTGGTAACATATTGGGTGATTTTGTCGACAACTGTAAACTTTTCCAAGCAGTGAAAGAGGTATTTTATGTCTCTGTGGTGCAGTGAGAACAGTGCAGCATCCCTTCTCACACCTGCATGACGAAGTAACTTTCCGAAGTCTAAGAATGGGTTACATCAGTCACAAAACAGGAAATATTTCCATCTGAACGTGATGGCTGCGATTTTCAAGGGAACGCATGTACCCAAATAGCATTCAATTTCACTGTATGTCCTGAACAAAAGGTTAGTGCAGAATTTCATTTGTATGTTACAAGCAAGGAGGGAGATATAAAGTCTCTCCAGCTCTAGGGTGTGATTAAAGTAGATTAAAACCTTTTGCATCACTCCTGACATGATTGTTCAAGGATGCCTACTGCCTAGAGATCCTGCATAATCTAATTAAGGAAGAGAGCAAATCTGCCTGAGACAGGTAGGGCTAGCACTGGCAATCAGTAGCATCCATGGGAATGAAAAAGGTAGACAGGAGTTTATTGCTGTCTTGGGACACACTTCTGAGCAAATATGACTTGAAGAAAGAGTTTTGCTTATCAAGTACTTTCTGCATTGAGCAAAGCAGCTGATAACAAGACTGAGACCTGAACCAGATGATGTGTTTGGAAATAACAGTCTTCCCACCTGAGGCTTGCAATAAATTGCAATGGAAAGAGAACTTTCGTGTCAGCATGAGTATTTATGCATGTCAACAGTGAGGTGCAGGTGATTCTGTTCTGCCTTGCTATCAATTGGCTTTGCTCATTTAGAGAAGCTGAAGTTACCGGAGTGCTGAAATGGAAGTCTGCAATCACCTTCCAGAAATGGATGTCTTCAGTACTTATTGCAGAGAATGTTGCAGAGAAAGCCACAGTCCTCATTTCTGTCCTTAATGCAACACAGATTTGGACAGAAAAAGGACTTAGAGGGAAGGGGCAGGCTTGAGGAGATCTCATTTCACAT